GGCTAGGAGTTGGGAAAGGTTCCATATATTATTAGTGTCCATAGAATACAGAGGAGTCAACACCCCAAATGTATAGTTTCTCAGCAAAGCTTATAAGGTCAGGCCAGGAAAAAATACAGGGTTGGTATCTACCCCACTCACACGGGCCCTTGCTCCTTAAAGAGTTCTTATGCTGCTTTGCCTATCTGGCACATAAAATCAATTATCCCCAATTTGTAAAGACTCGTAAAGAACCTTCACGTTGTTACACTAAAACTGACAAATGTCCAGTGACCAAGAAGCATTAAATAGAAAACTGGCCTTGGAGCCAGCAAGACCTGAGTTCAAGTGTTACCTCTGGCACAAACTGGCTATGTGACCCTGGTTAAGTCACTGCACTGCTCAATTCTCTAGGCCAGGAGCTGTCTAACTATAACCTATAGGCTAAATCCAGCCCACCACCCGAAACCAAAAGTCTAGTCCCTACCCCTGAGACTATCACAAAATTTTGATGCAAAGAAAAAAGCACAGGTCTCTTAAGATCAAAATGGCCCTAAATAGAAATCCAATATTTTGATCATTAATTATTGGGTGTCTATTATGTGTCCAGCATGGTGCCAAGTGCCATGGGGTATATGGAAGAAAAGCTATGACCCTGCCCTCAAAGGGCCAGGGCAATCAAACTAACACATGTGAAACTTTTAGTGATCAATCAGATGCTAAAGTGGGTGGTACCTTAGGAGTTCAGCAACAGCCAAGATCAAGATGGCTAGACTAGGTAGAAGGCTCAAGGCTTACCTCCTAAATGAGGAAGGACTTCAGCTGGACCTTGGGTGATGGGTTGGATTTAGAAGAGAGAGTCTACTAATCTACATTATGTAGTTGACATAACACTTTATCACTTGAAGAAAATTACTCAAACATATTTCTCTTTCTTTGCTAAAGAAAGAAGAATAATATCTTATTAGTAGATGCCAATGTCCATGTCAATTTTATTTTTTTCATTGGGAATGTAAATTAAACAATATTTTGTATCACCTCTGATTTAATAAAATCCAAAAGAGGTAGAGTCATCTGATAATTTTATCACTGAGCAAATTGGGCTCAAAACCAATCAATAAACATTTAGTAAGTATGTGCCAGATGGGCAGCTAGGTGGCACAATGGATAGAGAGCTGGGCCTGGAGTCAGGAAGACCTGAGTTCCAATCCAGCTTCAGATACTTACTTGCTATGTGGCCCTCAGCAAGTCACTTCACTCTATTTGCCTCAGTTTACTCATCTCCCAAACGAGCTAGAGAAGGAAATGGCAAATTGCTCCAATATTTTTGCCAAGAAAACCCAAATGGGATCATGAAGAATCAGGCATGACTGAAACAACATGTGTCAGATACTGTGCTAAGTCTAAGTGGGACCAACCACAATCTTTGAGTCATTGATGGCCAACTGATATTTATTAGCTCACCAATCTACATTTTTAAAAGAAGTTTTATTGGTGCGTTTTTTGTACTGCAGTTGTTTCTGAATACACGACTTTCTGAATCCCAGAGAGTCTTCCCTTGTAATTCAATAAGAAAAAAAAAAAAGTTAAGCAAAACCAACCAGTCTGAGAGCACATGCAGCATTCCACAGCCACAGTCTCTCACCCTTCCAAAGAAAGAAGGGAGGCCCAATGTTGACCTTTTTAAAATGTGCCATTTTTGAGCATTATCATTTGCATCTCCACATCTGAGTGAAAACATCAGCAGTTTATTCATCTGGATTTCTGCGCTTGATCAGAAACTTTTGACACACATCTTCCCCATGGCTAGAATGGCATATCCAATTCTAGTAAGCTGGTATTTCAGAATATTTAAGTAATGTGCCAGGCAATGTTTATGCAATAACTGAAAAAAATTATCACTTTCAACAACATCTTACAACATCCATGACCTTCAAGAATATGGATTCAGTCGTCTACAGTTCTCTACCAGATGTAAACGAAGTCTGGGTCTAGCTAATAAAAATGTAGTTTCTCCATCAGTTAGACATTCACTTGATAATTGTCTGTGGTGCGGTGAACTGAGTGCTGAGCCAGGACTTTCTAATTGGGTGACCTGGACAAGTCACTTAACCTCTGTTTGCCTCAGTTTCCTCAATTGTAAAATAGGGATGACTGGACAAGTCACTTAACCTCTGGTTGCCTCAGTTTCCTCAGCTGTAAAATAGGCATCTCCCTCCCAGGGTTGTTGTGAGGATAAAATGAGATAATATAAGGCATCTAACACAATATCTGGCACATAGTAGGTATTTCATAAATTCTTGTTCCTTTTGCTCTCCATACCCCCATCCTTTCTAAGGTTTGGGTAGCAGCTATACAAGCTACAAGGGGTTGCTGGAAGAATGGGTCCACATTCAAATCTGCCCATTCATGTCCTCATGGTTGCATCCCAGGACAGCAAGCAGCTGTCAGATATGCACAAGCCTGCTATCACATCTCTACCTGTCTTAAAGTGGTAGCAAAAGGAAACCTTGGCTTTTGGGAGTCAGTATGACTTAGCTTTTAGGACACTGTCTCATGCCTTTGCAATAGATCAGGTGATGACCAACTTTGTGATAGGGAAATGGATGGAGAACTGCTTTCTGCTGGACAGTTACAGTGATGGAAGAGAAGAGTCCTTTGTTGGGAAAATTTGGGTGCTAGACTTCTGCAAACATGATACAGTCACGGCAATGATGTGACAATAACGTCCTTTATTGGGCAGCTAGGTGACGCAGTGGATAGAGCACCGGCCCTGGATTCAGGAGGACCTGAGTTCAAATACGGCCTCAGACACATAATACTTACTAGCTTTGTGACCCTGGGCAAGTCACTTAACCCCATTGCCTAACCCCCCCCCCCAAAAAACAACGTCCTTTATTTTCAGTCATTAATTGTTAACAAATTTCCAGTTACAGACAATCCTAGGCTTGGAGGAGGTAGTGTGGGTGGCGATATTGGGAAAGGGTTGAATGGAAAGTTAAAGGAACAATTAATGGGGTATTTGATTTCTGCTGACTTGGCCAGAGTAATAGAGTTTACTTTTTGGCTCAGTGCTTAACTGGATAAGAGAGGTGGGGGTGGGGGGAAGGGGTGACTTGGCTCGAGAAACATGGAGAAGTATTGGGGAGTAATGTACAAGAGTACATATCTGATATATTTAGAGAGAAAGGGAGTCCATTGTCTCCCAGGCTGAGGTAGTTCACATCATCACAAACAGACATCACAGTGTGTTTCCAGAATGATACTCTGACCCAAGACAACAAAGATGGGAACCTCTCCCTTGTTAAGGCCTCTGGAAATGAGGCCAGTAGGGACTAGGCTGGGAATTTCTAGTCCAGAAGAAGAGGCCGTCAGGAAGTAAGGCAGCAGTCATAAAGGCTGACATTTATATCATACCCCATACATATTATCTTATTTGGCCCTTGTAACAAAGTATGAGTTAGTCAGTCAACAAATAATTATTAAATGTTTCTATGTACCTGGCACTGTGCTAAGTGCTAGCAAAAGAAAGGAAGGAAGGAAGGAAGGGGAAGGAAGGAAGGAAGGGAGGGAGGGAGGAAGGAAGGAGGGAAAGAAGGAGGAAAGAAGGAAGGAAGAAGAAAGAAGGAAAGAAAGAAAGAAAGAGAAAGAAAGAAAGAAGGAAAGAAAGAAAGAAAGAAAGAAAGAAAGAAAGAAAGAAAGAAAGAAAGAAAGAAAGAAAGAAAGAAAGAAAGAAAGAAAGAAAGAAAGAAAGAAAGAAAAAGAAAGAGGAAGGAAGGAAGGCAAAAAAACAAGTCTTGTCCTCAAGGAGCTTATATATATACTTTTGGTAGGAGTTTATGTTCTAACATGAGAGGAAGCATGCAAACAACTATTTGCAAATAAGATATATACAGTGTATCCTGAAGGTAATCCCAAATTGAAGGCACTAAAAGGAGTTGTGGGAGTGGGGTGGAGTGAGGTGGGGTTGCACTGGGAAGGGTCTCTTGCAGAAGGTAAGATTTGAGCTGAGTCTTTAAGAAAGCCAAGGAAACCAGGATTCAGAGATAAGAAGGGAGAATGTTCCAGTTCAGGGGATAGAGCCAGTGCTAAGTCACAAGGAGGGGAAGTGGAGAGTCATTTTTGAGGAACAGGAAATCGGGCCGAATCATAGAGTATGTGGATGGGGAGTCAAAGCATACTAAAACTGGAAAGGTAAAAAGGGCCACTTGTAAAGGGCTTTAAAAGCCAAACAGAATATTTTCTATTTGATCTTGGAGATAATAAGGAGCTATAGGAGTGTGAGGTACAAGTAAAGTGTGAGATAAGTGCTATAGATCCTATTCCTATTTTACAGATGGAAGTCCTGAGGCTCAGAAAAGTTAAGTGACTTGCCCAGGATTACGTAGTTGTTAAGCGTTAGAGTTAGGCTATGATTAGTTCATAGGTTCATTAGTTCATAGTATCATTAGTTCATTAGCTCATGGTTCATAGTGCTGGGCATATAGTAGGTGCTTAATAAATGTTGATTGATTGATTGCAAGTCTAGTGCTCTTCCATGGTACCATCCTGCCTAATAGAAAAGAAAGAGGTCCCTCCTCTGTCATTATTATCTTTGAGGAAGAGATATCCCGAGGCCCCTTTAGAGAAAAAGGGGAGGATTTCTGTGCTTAGCACATACACACAGTGCCTGGCACATGATAGGCACTTAGTAAATACTAGTTGACTGACTGACTGATTTACTAACCCAAATGCTAATCTGATTCTGGGAACTCTATTCCCTGGAGCCAGGTAAGGAATCACAAAATCTAAGAGATATAAGGAACACCAGAGGTCATTTAACTTAACAACCTCTGCTTGATCAAGAGAATGCCCTCTACAAGGATTCCTGCAAATGAACAGTCAGCCTCTGTTTGAACATGAGATCAAAAGAGGGAGATCCCACCATTTCCTTAGATAGCCTATTTCCCTTTAGGATAGTTCTAATTTGTTTTTAAAATTTTCTTTTATAAGGAATTAGGAAGTAAGAACTGCCCCCTTACCATAAAACTGAAGCCAAGAGAGCAGTTGCAATGGAATGTGTCAAAGGTAGTGGTGGTGATGGTGGTGGGGTTTTTTCTTCATTATCATCATCCTCATCTGAACTGGACGCCCGAGAGAAATCAGAGCATCACA